GTGCTGAGCAACATTGGCAGCCTGGCCTCATCTTTCTTTCTGGTGCTTTTTGACAAGAACCATCTTTGTCTCTGGATTGCGACATCTGTGTATGGAGCCTCAATGGCAGCCACGTTTCCCAGCGGCATTTCCTGGGTTGAGCAGTACACCACCTTAACTGGGAAATCTACAGCATTCTTTGTCATTGGTGCTGCCCTGGGAGAAATGGCGATTCCTGCAGCGATCGGGATTCTCCAGGGACACTACCCAGGTCTGCCGGTAGTCCTGTACGTATGTCTGGGGTCAGCCATCTTCACTGCTGTTTTGTTTCCTGTGATGTATAAATTAGCCACCTTACCCCTGAAGCGCCAGCGCAAAGGAAGAAGAAAGAGCAAGGACCAGCAAGCTTTTTTTTTCCAGTACTGAGTTAAATGATGATGAGAAAGAAAATACATGGAAACATGCAGAAAAGTGGAATAGAATGGATTCTGAAGTAGGTGCAATGAAGACTATGAGGCATTCTGTAATAGAGAATTCTAGAAAGATAGATTCTGATTTGATAAAGCCCACAGCTGATGCCTTTAGGTAATTCCCAAATGTCTCTGTGTTTGAGTCCTCTCCAGTTAATGGTGGTATCTTCCTTGTGATACAGCAGGGGAAAATGGACAAATATTTGGAGAAGACAAACTATTTAATAACTTAATAGTTGCTACTCTTGAAGAAGCCAGGCCAGGTGGAGCCATAGCAGGTTATTAACATTTCTAGGGGTCAAAGTTTCTAGATCATCATAATACTGCTGAAATGATTTAACATGTCCCGGAATTTCCAGAGTCTTCCATAATGTACCAGATTATAATGAGCATAGTAAAAAAATGTCTTTTAGACATGTAAAAATAGCTGAGTCAGGATCCCCACTACACCCAAGGTTGCACCTGATAACCAGAACTCAGTGACATCACTCCCTCAAGATAAGCCAACACACAGCTAGAACCCCGTGACACCCACCGGACAGTATGTAAGCAGAGACCAAGAGCAATGCTCTGCTCTGCACATTTGGAGAGACACTACCTTCATCTGCCCTGTGGCGGGAGAGTCTCCCCCAAGATCCTCAAATCAGACCCTCAAATCAGACCCTCAAATCAGAGACTACTGTTAGAGATTGGACTTGACCTTCAGCTAAGATAGGTCACACAGGTGAGCAGCCTTGGGGACATGAGCGTAGTACTGTAGTTAGGGACATTGTGTGATGGCCCGCAACATAATAAAACATAACTTTTGTTATACTAACTATGCCTATCTGGTTCTTGTTCGTGGCACTATGTTCTCATACAGTGGGAGCATGTAATGAGACACCTGTTTGGGAGACTCATTAGGAAATGTTATTTTGTGGCATGTGCAAAAAAAAAAAAAAGTTGTGTTTGAGAATTTGGGTAGAACACCAGTAAGTAGGCACTGTGGATTTGTGGAACTGTGGATTGGCCTTTGCTGAGAAAATGACCAAGTGTCCATATTCTCTTTTTTGTTTGTTTGTTTTTCAAGACAAGGTTTCTCTGTATAGTCCTGGCTGTCCTGGAACTCAGGGATACGCCTGCCTCTGCCTCCTGAATTCTGGGATTAAAGGTGAAGGCCACCACCACCCAGCTTTGGAGAGAGTAGTTTTGATGCAGGAGAAACTTGAAGTAGTAATTGATGCTATCAAGGATTTGCTAATTAACTTCCTTAGGTAATATCAAGTTATACAAAGTAGAATTTTTTATTAATTTATTCATTTTACATCTCGGTCATAAGCCCCTCCCTTCCCTCCTCCCAATCCCACCCTCCCTAACAAAGTAGAATTAATTAAAGATGACTGGAAGATTAGTGTACTCACCAGGTTTGTTAGAAACTGTTTAAGAAAGAACATTTTGTGCCCAAATTGAAGTTTAGGGTTGCTGAAAAAAATTCTGCTAAACGTTTATTCAGCAAAACTACCCTCCGGTTTAGGCTCTCTTCCCATAACAAAATGGACTTACAATCAGTCAATAGGTCTATTTCCATATCAAAGAACACACCTCTAAAAGGCAGTTCAGGTGGACAGAGCTGAGTTACACCATCCTCACATTGCTGTCTGCCGTTAACTGCTCTGTGCAACCAACAGGGAAAACAGAATTCTGCCAGGTGGGCAAGATAAGCCTGGGTTTACTATGTGAAGAGAGGAAGACTGGTGTACTCAAGAAATAACTCTGATAGCATCTTTGCTGTGTAAATCTCACATGTGCCCAAGGGTCCAGACTTGCAGTCTCCTGTATCTGTTTACATTGTTTGAAGTATAACCTGGGACCAGGACCGGAAAGAGATTTAAGGGTGACACATTTGTGGAAAGAATAAGCCCAAGGTGTGTATATTAACTGGTAAAATCTCTACCTCTAGCCGGAGTGCTGCAGGATATACGATCACACTGTGAACCCAGAGATTGTGTTGTTTACTGGAAAAGCTTGTTTCTAGTCGTGGTGTGGCTCAGTCCTAGCACACACCTTTAATCCGAGAGCTTTTTGCTTTAAATAAAGTCACCCGTAGGTCAACTGGAGCAAACAACCAGTTGACAGGGAGTGAACATGGAAAAAAACCGTAGCGAGTAAGAGGAAGTCAGGAGGACAGATAAAAGAGATACACAAGAAGTAGGAGGGAAGGATATTCAGTTTGAGGGGTTTTTGAGACTGTGAGGGAGAAGATGGCTTCTGGGATGTGAGCTGAGGAGGAAGGTCGGCTGGGCGACCTTTCTCTGCCTCTCTGAACTAGCAGGCTTTCACCCCAGCATCCTGCTCCTGAGTCTTTATCGGCAAACTCGACGATTGAGATTTTGTTTAAAACCAACACCTGGCTTCCAGCAGGAAGCGGCTCTGCCTCACCATGGTCTTCTCCATGACACTTCTCACCGCAGGCCCCCAACAACAGAGCTGAGCATCAAGTGGCCTCTGCAACAGTGAGCCTGGGTCCTCGCTTTATGTGTTAAGCGGTTTCTCTCGCGGGCTTTTGGCATAGTGGTCAAAGTGCTGACTACTCAGGGTTTGATCCTAATCTCCTGCTGAGCGCACAGTGCTGTACCATATGCACCGTTTCCTACCTGGGCCGCCTTGGAAGGAGAGCCGTGTGCCCTACCGACCTGGACGTGGATACTGTGAGCCTCTCAAGCAGTCCTGCCCTTCTTTACTGTTCCCTCCTCTTCCTTGGCTCCCAGCCTCCGTGTATCTCTGCTTGGATGCTGAGAGGAGACGGTGTGACCTGGCACACGGTGAGTAAGTGCCGCCGTTCTGTGTTGGGACTGCCCTCCGGAGATTCCGGTCAGGCTGTGAAGAATTGAGTAGACGGGCCTTAGTTCCACTCCACGGCTCCCCTCTAGAGAGCTGGTTATCTCACACTCCCACACTCACGGCTCTGAAAGCAGGAGCACCCCGGTCAGCAAGGAATTTCACTTTTAGTCTATTCTAGGGTAGGCTGGGCTCCGTGATTACTGTTAATGGCAACCTGAAGGGTAATGGTCTTTACTTTTAATGTGTGTGCAGTTGCCCGTGGAGGCCAGAAGGCGGCGCTGGATCCCCATGAACTGGAGTTGCAGGCAGTTGTGAGCCACTATGTGTGGATGCTGGGAACTGAACTTTGGTCCTCCGGGAGAGCAGCAAGCGCTTTTAACTGCTGATCATCTCTTCTGTCCCTGGACTGTGCTTTTTTTTTTTTTTTTTTTGGCAGGAGGGTGGGGAGGCTTGAGACAGGGTTTCTCTGTGTAGTCTTGGCTGGCCTGGATTTGCTTTGTAGACCAGGCTGGCCTGGAACTCAGTGATTCGCCTGCCTCTGCATCCCTGAGTGCGGGGATCACAGGTGTGCCCCTTTTAGACTGTACTTTTTAATCCAGAATGACAGGTGCTAAAGTATTTACCCTTGAAAGTCTATAAATGGACCTCTCTTTTGCAGGAGATACAATTACACCCCTAAGCCATGACCAAGGTTTCCAAGCTCCTCACTTCATTTAAGAGGCACTGCCAAACACTTGCTGAGCTCAGTAAGCACTGCTCTAGGGGGAAATGACAGGTAACCCCTTCCTGAGCAGAGCTAGTTTCACTGTTAAATGTGGTTACAAGACGACATTTATATAGCTGAGCAGCAAGTACAGCTTGATGGAGAGACAAGGTGGCTGCAGTCTTGTTTGCTGTTTGAGAATTTCCAAGTACTTCGTTTGCAGCTCTTTTTCTTTTTCCACTAGCACAATTCATGTGGGTGAATGTACCTAAACATTAACACCAACAAAAAGCTCCAGAAAAGGACTCTGACAGCAGCATGGGGCTCATCCAGTAGAGCTAAGGGAACATTGCTATGGGTGAGTCAGATCTTAGGTTACAGCTCCTCATACCCAGGGGTAACCGAGGGCTTCAGTTTTCATTTCAGTCCCTTCTCGCTTACAGAGAACTCAACTTCTGGGAGGAGCACATCCTCTTCTGAGTCCAGACAACATCTGGGCCTTTTAACCTTGTTTTATTTTAAAATTATTAGTGTGTGTGTGTGTGTGTGTGTGCATGGCAGTGCTGCATGTGAAAGTCAAAGGCCAACTTTGTAGAGTCAGTTCTTTCCATCCACTGGACCA